TCAAAGCAGTGTTTGAAGTGAGCTATCAGCAGCCTCATTTCACAGGGGAGGACACGGAAGCTCGGGACGCTTCACGACCAACTCAGGTTCACACAGTCTAAGTTGGTGGCCGAGCCGGGATTTGAGCCAAGACGGTGTGACTCAGAGAGCCGACTCCTTTGCAAATATATCGGCTGCTTGCTGTACATTACCCCCATGGAAATTGGAGCCATCGGTTTCCTCTCGTACACACATGACTCCCGCCTTGGGCCACAGAAGACTCTAGCACAGCCGTCAAGTGTGATTTCTCTGGACAGCACCTGTGTGGCTGCTCTCGCTCCCACACCCATTCATTCCCCGCCCGGTGGATTATTTTTTATGTCCGCAGCCACCCGCTGGATGCAGATGGAGGCTGAGAGCTGGCTCAGCTGAGCTGTAATTCCCCAGTCCCCTCTGTGGCGCTCACACGGCCGGGGTCACATCTGTGAGCCGACATCCACTCCAGCGCAGCGGCTGTTCGCGCTGACAGGTCCCACACTCCTGCCAAGCAACCGTCCGCATTTCATCCATGAGCTCCTGCCACTCTCTCAGGTGGACGCCATCTGCTCACAGAGACTGATCTGCACTTACTTCTTTCCAATCTGGCCTAGAACACCCTGCTATTGACCAAGGCTTGATCTAGTACCTGTCTGCCAGAGAAGCTACTCCAATAATCTCTGTGGACCAAGGCGAGGCAGCCATTCAGTCCATTAGTTCTTCACTGCTGGTCCTTGCCTCCGCAGGGCACATCTGCTAGCCAGGCCATCCTTTTCAAAAACAAAGCAAGCCCCCGAGGAGGAGCTGGGCTTTGCTCTTGCAGGTAGGATGCTGACCTCTCACTCTGCTTTGTGGTCAGGGTATCAGACTCAGGGCTGAAGTCCTGGCTCTACCACACCCACCTGGAGAGCTTGCCTGGCCAGTGCTACTTTCTCCCTCTTTGGGCAAGGCAAGCAGACCGCCCATCATGGAGATCGGGCCACAGCGACTGGCATGAGTGTTTTTCAAGCGGAGCCTGGAGGGGAGACTCTGTCATCTTACACACCATCCCAGGTCCTTTCTGGTCTTTTCTCGCTTCTGCAATAGAGACGGCATGTTTGGAGCAGGTAAGACTGACGCACAGAGAATGAGAATCGGCAGCTGTCACCCCTGCAGCTCCACCGCCGGCCTCTCTGGTTACATGAACCAATGCATCCTCTCTGTTGGCTTGGGCTAGTGTGACTGCAACCAGGCCAGTTCAGCCCAGCCCCGAGTTGAGTTTCCTGCTGAGTCTCTCCTCTGTGGTATCATGAAAGGGTCTCTTCTCATGAGATTGGTTTGAGAGGCTCTTGAAGGCTACACAGCAAAGTGTTGGCAGCCCAGTTATGTCTGGCTGTGCCTCAGAGGATTCTCTGCTTCTGTTTGGACAATGCTTTTCCTTTCTTTCAGTGATTCAAACTATTCACAAAGAACTTTCACACCCTGTGCCTGCTTCTCTAAGTGCTGTCAGCCACCCTTTAAGACAGGATTCTGTTCATTCAGTGAACAGCCCCACTACGTGCCAGTTACTGGTTTTGGTGCTGGGAACACGCCAGTGATAAGACAGCTCTTGCTATATGACTTCATGTTCCAGTGGGGGATGTGGAGTGGATAAGTCCCTGCTGTAAGTGTGGGAAGTGGCAGGGCTTAGGAAGGGCAAATGGAATGTCCAGGGGCTCAGGAACCATTTTCGACAGGTGACAGGTGCGGGTGGAAGTCTTTTCTGGAGGGTTGACATTCAACCAGAGAGCTGAATGAAGTCAGGGAGAAAGGCGATGGGAAGAGTATTCCAGGGAGATGCTGCAAGTCCAGAGACCCTGAGCAGGAAACACCTTGGCATAAGCTAAGGAGGCGAGGCCAGTTGGATCATGAGACATGAAGGTGAGTCTGGGCAGCCACCAGCCCGTTCGGAGCCTTCAAGTTAATTAGAAGAAGACGCACCTCTGGCAGACTAATCACCACGGAACATCATTGTTTGGGAAACACCTGGACAGCTGTACAGGTAATCATTAGCCATGGCTTAGCAGACACAGTGAGAGAGAAGAACCAGTTCCTAAAGGGAACATTGGATGGAACTCTAAGTCAGTGATGTCTATGAGAAACAGAACATGGGCCGTGTTTGTACTTAAAAATTTTCTAACGGCTACTTTTAAAAAACAGTAAAAGGGAATGGATGTCTTAAATAATTTTTTTAGCTAATATGTCCAGAATGTCAACATTTATTTATTTATTTATTTTTTTTTTTTTTGACAGGCAGAGTGGACAGTGAGAGAGAGAGACAGAGAGAAAGGTCTTCCTTTTGCCGTTGGTTCACTCTCTAATGGCCGCCGCAGCCGGCGCGCTGCAGCTGGCACACAGCGCTGATCCAATGGCAGGAGCCAGGTGCTTCTCCTGGTCTTCCATGGGGTGCAGGGCCCAAGCACCTGGGCCATCCTCCACTGCACTCCCTGGCCACAGCAGAGAGCTGGCCTGGAAGAGGGGCAACCGGGACAGAATCCGGTGCCCTGACCGGGACTAGAACCCGGTGTGCTGGCGCCGCAAGGCGGAGGATTAGCCTAGTGAGCCACGGCGCCGGCCCAGAATGTCAACATTTCAACATATGATCAATGTAAAAAAATATGAGATGTTTTAAATTCTTCTTTTGGGGTACTATTTTTTCTTTTCTTCTCAGAATTATTTCTTTATTGAAAGTGGGGGGGGGGGGAGAGGGAGAGAGAGAGAGAATCTTCTATCCAGTGGCTCACTCTCCAGATGGCTGTAACAGCCAGAGCTGTACCAAGCTGAAGCCAGCAGCCAGGAGCTTCATCCAGGTCTCCCACATGCGTGCAAAGGCCCAAGCATTTGGGCCATCTTTCACTGCTTTTCCCAGGTCATTAGCAGGGAGCTAGATTGGAAGTGGAGCAGCTGGGACTCAAACTGGCACCCCTATGGGATGCCAGTGTCAAAGGCAGCAGCTTTTTTTTTTTTTTTAGATTTATTTTTATTTATTTGAAAGACAGAGTTACAGAGAGAGAGGTAGAAACAGAGAGAGAGGTCTTTCATCTGCTGGTTCACTCCCCAGATGGCTGCAATGGCCGGAGCTGCGTCAATCCGAAGCCAGGAGCCAGGAGCTTCTTCTGGGTCTCCCACACGGGTTCAGGGTCCCAAGGACTTGGGTCATCTTCTGCTTTTCCAGGCCACATCAGAGAGCTGGATCAGAAGAGGAGCAGCCGGGACTAGAACCGGCGCCCATATGGGATGCTGGCGCTTCAGGCCAGGGCTTTAACTCGCTGTGCCACAGTGCTGGCCCCAAAGACAGCAGCTTTACCCACTGTGCCATAGTGCTGGCCCCTGGGTATTATTTCTTCACAATCTGGTGCATATTTTACACTTACAGATTTTTCAACTCAAGTACTAAGTTTTTATCAGAAATACCCGAGCAGTATTTAGATTTCTTCAATGTGTGGTGAAACCATAGCTTTACATAACCAGGTTGTTCCAAACATACTTAAAAGTTTGCCAGTAACACACTTAGTCATCAGTATTTGAGTTAATGAAAATTAAGTTAAAAGTGCTTTCCTTCGGTGCATGAGACAGATTTCAAGCGCTCAGCAGTCATGTGCAGCCAGTGGCTTCCGGAGTGGACAGAGGAGGTCTGAGAGCCGCTGGATGGCTGAGAACAGGGAATGGCATAATCTCGTTACCTCCTTTATTGGGAAGATCTTTATGGAACCTGTGTGAAGAACAGACTTGTGAAGGGGCCAGGAGGGAAGCGAGGAGGCCAGCTGCAACTGGCCGGGTGGGAGACATGGCCCTTGTAGGTGGTGGGACAGCTGATAAGGAGGGTGGTCAGGTGCACAGACTTTGTTGCTGGAATGGGCACCTCCCCTGAGAGGGAGACTGGACTCCCGGATGTGGGTGGGCTTCCTGAGAGGCTAACAGAGATGAGGCCTCAAGATCCCTTATTTGGGGCCGATGCTGTGGCACTGTGGGTTAAAGCCACGGCCTGCAGTGCCAGTACCCTGTGTGGTGCTGGTTCGAGTCCCGGCTGCTCCAGTTCTGCTCCACTCCCTGCTGATGTGCATGGGAAAGCAGCAGAGGCTGGTTCTAAGTGCTTGGGCCCCCGCACCCATGTGCGAAAACCAGAGGCAGCTTCTGACTTTGGCCTGGCTGTTGTGGCCATGTGGGTGGTGAACCAGCAGACAGCAGATGTCTCTTTCTTTGTCTCTGTCTCTCCCTCTCTCTATCTGTAACTGAGACTTTCAAATAAATAAACAAATTTTACAAAAAAAAAATCCTTTTTATTTGCATGGACGGCTCCCCCTGGCTTGGATTTTGTGATGTATCAATTTCTAAAATGCTATTTATGGTGGGTTTTTCTCATTCTAAATAAATATTCACTTTTGTATCTGATTGTATTAATAATGCTCCCCCCAACAGAGGCCACCAGATTGAATAAGCCCCAAGTCCCATAAGACCCTGGATTAGCATCTGCCCTGAGGTTCGATAAGCCCATATGAAAAGTGAGAAACTGAGGCTCCAGGAGGTAAAAAATGACTTGACTAAAGCAAATCAATAAGTTCCGCACGTTTTTCTGTAATGAGGCACTGTTCATCCAGTAAGTTGTCTTCAGATAATCCTCTTTCTCCTGGGGTGATCCACTCTTTTTCACGCCTTCTTCACGTATTTCTAAAGCCAGCCTTGAACTGTATTATCCTTCTAAACGCAGCAGGGTAACTAGGAGAGCTGCACCCTGGGTGTGCTTTCCTCTGAGACACTGCACTTGTTCTGTGGTTAGGAGGGGTGTAACCTGATGCTAAAAAAGTCAAATATCGGGGCTTGGGATGCTGGCTGTGCCACCAACTCACCACGTGACCCTGATCAGTAAAACATGGAGAATAGCACCCACGAACAGGGTAGCTGTCTGGATTAAGGGAGATACTCCATGCAATAATGAACCAAGTCCCTTGCAGACAGTAGGCACTCACCTCTTGTTGTTATTGTTACCTTGTTGGCTTTTTGGTGCCTTTTCTTCAAGGCTCCCTGGTCCGCTCATCAATCCTTCGTCAAGGCCAGGGTCTTGGCCCATCTACCTGTCTGGAAAGAGTGAGAGAATCAGCCCAGCATGACCTTTATGCCACCTTACCCAAGTGATCAAATTCCTTCTCCCAGGGGTGAGAGAACTGGACACTGTGTGTCCCCTCCCTCATCAATACGATGCACTGAGAAGGTTGTATCCACCTCGTTCTTAACAAGTATTTAACCTGAACTAATCAGCCAATCCAGAGAGTGGGGCATTCTACTCTTAAAAAACAATGTCATGAAAACAAACAAGCAAAAAGAGGTGGGGAACTATTCTAGAATAAAGGGGTCTAACAAGCTCGGAAACCTAACACTACAAGGAAACCTTGATTGTAGCTGGGTTCAAGTAAAACATTTGAGAGGCTATATTAGAGGACTGGGTTAATTAAAGTTCACGCTAATAGGTGTGATATTGACATCACAGCTATTATCAGTCAGACGTGAACAGCAACGCCCTGTATAGCATAAAAGAGAAGAAGGTCCCTAGTTTTAGGGGATGCCTGATGAAGTAGTTAACGGTGATGGAGTCATTAAGAAGCAAAGCAAGAGAGGGAGAGGGAAAGTGGTGAGCTGTCAACACTGTTCACCACAGAGTTGATGCCAGTGCGGCTACACTGCTAACACTGGGGGAAAGGTAGAAGAGGGCTTTGAGAAATTCATAGAAAAACTGAATTAAAAGATAATGAATATTTTGCAATGAACGTTTAGAAGCTCACATGTGTGTGTGTGTGTATGTGGTACCTTTCTCTCAACTGCTCTGTAAATTTGAAAATTAAATTTAAAAAGCCATTGTTCTTCACAGCCACTGGGCCCTTTCTGCTCAGTGAATTGTTGGTCCTGCCGTGGCCAGGTAGTGGGTAATGGACGGCTTCCATCAACAGCAATGCCAGGACTCATTTGATCACTTCACTGGTGCCAATCAATGTTTCTCTGCACTCTGTCATCTCCCTGTGGGCCACGGCAGCACGGGGAGAGGCACGGGTGGTGAATGCAACAAAGGTTTTTATTACATGAGATGGAGTTTCCAATCCTGGGATTCCCAGATCACCCTGTTGAGGGGTAAAGCCAGGTGCCCCACTGCTATTTTCTCCATCCCTCTCCAGGCAGGTTCCTCCCTCCATGACCCTGGCCTCCTTGTGTAGTTCTTGTCCTAGGAGCCCATCACACAGTTACCTGGCCACCAGGTCTCTGAGCTGCCAACTATATTAGGCTTCTACATGTTACCCCGGGCTCCTGGCATTGGGGTATACTCGGGTAATCCAGCTTTGTCCGACTTGTCTGTTCTCTGCCTACCTAATGTCCCATTGGATGGGGGAGATTCTGTTATTCCAATTGTTTTCTTAAAACTGCAAGACTTTCTTGCTGGCCTCCGTAACAGAAGACTCATCAATCCTCATCACATACTCAGCCCACACCAGCTGGCTTTCTCCCGTTTTACGTTTAGAAAATCTACTGTAATAAATGGTTCCTTTTAAACTCTTCTAGTGTAACCTTTCTTGGTTGAGTGGTGATAGCAGAAAGATCATCCGTATTATAATCCATTGTTTCTCTGTGTGTCTTCTCGTTTCACCTCCAAATTCTCTGGGAAAAGGGACTTACCCTCTGACACTCAAACTCTCTCTGATGCACAGAATAGTAGGAACTCAATAAATGTTCAGTGAGCAAAAGACTCATCCATTGCTATAACAACAGCCCCTTGCTAACTGGACAGTGGTGCGGAAGGAACAAGCATGTCCTCTGACATATCACACGGCTGACATTTCATACGGACCTGCCTGGCGTCTTGAGCCTTCCATATCAATGTGATGCAAAAGAAGTGTTGGGAGGGGACCTCCTTTGCTCAAGGCACAATGCAGCCTGTACTTCTTGAGCTTCTACAGGTCAAACCCTCATGCCCTCATGTAACAATCATCCCTGGGAGCCAGCGAGCCAGGAACCCCATTGGTGCCAAGGTTGAAGGCTTACTGATTGCTTGTAAGCAATTCCCCACGTCTTAGGGGAAGCTGACCCAGGTACGCAAGTCACCACCAGGTGAGGCAAGAAAACTAAGTGCTCCAAGAAGAAAGGCGAAAACATTGTCCCGAGTCCTGCTTCTGGAACGAAATGGACAAGCTCTCAGGTTAGGAAATCTACAACAGATCAGGAACAAGGAGGAGATGTGTAGAGCTTGCTCCCATCACAAAACATTCTGGCCAGTGTTGAGCTCCGCACCCTTGAAGCATACAGCATACCCCTCAGCTCCTCATTTGTAGAGGAGGAACCAACAAGGGGACTTGAAATTTGTGGGAAAATAGAATTACAAGGTAAGCTTGTGTTGGTACAAAACTTGTTTGAAATCCACGCATAGCTTTTTTCATGACTCACATTTTCCGTGGACTTTTTCAAGACCCCTTATTAAGGATCGTGGTGGGGAAGTTACTGGCCCAGGTCCCACAGCAGGTGGTAGCTGAGCCAGGACCCCCTTCGTCAGTTCCTCACTGCTGGGTTTGTCTATGGAGCTGGTGTGAGGCACGACTCTCGGTACTAAATATCAGACTCCCAACTGCTGACTCAACTGGCCAAGGGTCCCTGCTTCTAAAGCTCCCCATGTGATACTAAGGAGAACCACATGTCTTCCCATCCTGTGTTTTTGATGATTTGACATTGGCAGGTTTTGTGCAAGACCGGGCTCTGTAGACCATCAGGAGTCTGGATCACATCACTGATGGCACCCCCTTCCTCTTCCCTTCAAATGGTGGGCTTCCCTGTCACCTTGTAGACACAGTGGATGATTTAATGCATCATTTGGCTCCTGGCACTCCCTCACTCAAATCATCACCACGTTCTGCTGAGGCCAAAGTCCTTATTGTGGCCTGGAAAGCATTCCTCCCGGGGACTTGTGGTCTTCAACCTCTTGCTTGCTCTCTCCCACCACCTCCTGTTGCTCCTGGAACCTTCTGGAAAAGGCTCAATTTTCAGTGCTATTTCCTCTGCCTGGAACAACCCTACCTGCCACTGATCTGCCCTGTGGCTCAACCCCATGCCTCACCCAGTGCAGATAACCTGCCTGCCTTGTTCAACCATTTTCCCCCATCACCCATACCTCCCTTGACTGTCATGTATTTATTAGGTGTACTTCTTTGTCTCTCCCCAGCCTGGGAGCTTTGTTTGCTTCATTGATAGCGTCTAAGGAGCTGAAAAAGCCTGGTAAGAGTAGGTATTATAATAAATACTTGTGGGGGCTGGCACTGGGGCACAGTGGGTTAAGCTGCCTTCCACTTGTAACATCTGTCTTCCCTATCCCCTTTTCAGGGTGCCAGCAGCTCTGCTTATGATCTGGCTCCCTGCTAATGTGCCTGGGAAGGCAGTGGCTGATGGCCCAAGTACTTGGGTCCTTGCCACCCACATGGAAGACTCTGAAGGAGTCCTGGCTCCTGGCTTCAGCCTGGCCCAGATCTGACCGTTACAGACATTGGGCAAGTAAACCAGCAGATGGAATCAATTTCTGTGTGTCTCTCTGATTTTCAAATAAATAAATACTTGTGGAATTAATTTGCAAGAAAGGGTTTGTTGATCAAAATACCCTCAATCAAGTGAGCAACTTGGCTGGACCTATGTGGTCCTTGTCATGCTGCAGATGTTCAGTGCCTGCAGAGATCCATGGTGAGGACAGAGGGCATTGGTAACTGTGGGCCCCCTGCACCAGAGGATGGTTAAGGGGAGGTCTTCCGGCAGGAACCCTGGGAACAGCCGAGGGAAGGTTGCTTCTGCCCTTGGCGAGGTGGTGACGGACGAATACACACAGATGCCATGCAACACCCAGGGATGTGAAGGATTCTGGGAGAAAGGCATCATTATTTTGGTAAGGGTGGATGACAGGTCTTTTAGGGAGTAAACCATGGTCCAGAGGAAACATACAGAAATCATATTTTAGATGTTCAAAGAGCCCTGACAAATTCCTGCACCCGGATCCATTTTTAAAGCTTTAGTTGGCATGGTATGGGGCAGACAGTGTGGGCTGATGAAGTGGATGAGAAAATGCCACAGATGCAGGGAGAACAGGAAGAAAGGGGCAGCTCTGGAAGGAGCGGCCTCGGCTTGGGGACCCCCGCCAGGAACCCCAGAAATGGTCCCTCGTAAGGATTTTGCAAATGATCCAGAAGAAAGTGTATCCAGCAGAGTCTGCAACTGAACACTGACCTTGCACCTTCCTGGCTGGTGGGACGCCAGGGCAGTGGAGACAGACATCGGAGGTCATCAGGGCTGAGCATGTGGTGGGGAAGCAGCAGACGAGCTTCACTGGGCAAACTCTGGACATACATACAAGGGAAAATGGCCTGGAGACGTCAGCAGGACCCAAGGGAAGGTCAGAAGAGGCACTGGCACTCCCGCTGGACCACCTCAGCCAGGTTAACAGTGGATGCCGGACCCTTCCGGAAATGGGCATTGGTCATTAAGGGATGGAGTTCATTTTCCCACTGCTTTTTGAAGTTGGGAAATGTCTGCCATTCTCTCCCTATCTCCTGTCCTGAGGGTGCCTCTTAACTTCCCCCATCCCACTTCACACCTCTGGGCTTTCGATTGTGTCTTTCCCACCACCTTGTGAGCCCCCAGCACCCCTTCTTTTCTATCTTCCCCAACCACACTCACCCCTCACTGCCCTGGGCTCCCTGCTCAGATCTCTGTGGAACGCTTTAATATTTGCAAAAGGTATCTTCCAGGCGGGCACTCACTCACGATTAATGGGATGCATGATTGGATCAAGTCTGTGTGTTTCAAAACAGACACAGGGAGATGGAAAGACGCCAAGTCAGCCAGGGGAGGGGACGCCATGGCCAGAAAGCTGGGCTCCTCAGTCTGGAGTGAGGACCAGCGAAACAGGCAAAGGAGCACATGGAAACCCTTGAAGTGGAGAGGTGAACAGGACCTGGCTCACTGAATCAGAACACTGGAAAGACGAAGCCGCCAATTGTGTTTAAAAAATCCTTTCAAGCGAATGGAAGCCTCCTTGAATCTTTCTGAGTATGAAGCGTGATATTCTTAAAAATCAGCTGTTTGGGTAAGATTTACATACTGTTAAATACACCTGTGGTGAGTACAGTTCCATGAGCCTTGACAAATGTATACATCCGTGTAGCCAACATCGTTATTAAGATGTAGACCGTGTCCATCAACCCATGAACGTTCCTTCATGCCCCTCTAAAGTTAATCACTCTGACCCAATTCCTTGAGGAGCCACTGACTTGCATTTAAACAAATTTTTTTTTGTGTGAAGCACACACACACAGATGCACACACACACACAAAGACAGTAGATAAATATAGAGAGAGTTCCTATCTACTGCTCGCTGTTGAAGTGCCCACATGGACAGACTGGGCCAGGCCAAAGCCAGGAACTAGGAATGCAATCCAGGCCTCTCAAGGGAGAGGCAGGAGCCCAATTACTTGAGCCACCACTGCTTCCAAAGTCTCCATTGGTAGCAAGCTGGAATCAGGAGTGAGAGCCCAGAATCCAGCAGTCACTCCCACCTGGGATTCAGGCATCCAACCGCAGGCCAACAGCTGCTACGCAGTGGTCTGCTTTTCATCACTACGGATTAACTTGCTGCTCCAGCACTGGTACCCAATTTTCATGTCTGGCTTGTTTGTTTGGTTTTTGCTCAGTGTCGTATTTTTGAGGTTCATTCCTGGTGCTGTACATATCAGAAGTTACATCTTTTTCATTACTGTATATTACCTCATTTTGGCCATGGTACAATTTGTTTATTCATTTATCTATTATTATCTACTATTCCAGTTGTTTTCAGTTCGGGTCTATTATGAATAAAACTACTGTGGACATTTGTGTACAAGTCTTTTTTATGGATAAGACACAGTACTGATAAGTAAAATTAAAAAATCTCAGAGCTAGACAGAACACAAAAGAGGGATCCTAATGTGCTGAGTTCAGTCTTCTGCCTCCAGCCCTCTGCTTTCTCCCCGCCACCACAGTCCTGAGAGAACTGGATGTTTGGTCTCTGTTTGCCCCCTGCTAGGGAACTCACGGCCTTTTTTTTTTTTTTTTTACAGGCAGAGTGGACAGTGAGAGAGAGAGACAGAGAGAAAGCCTTCCTTCTGTTGGTTCACCCTCCAATGGCCGCTGTGGCCGGCACGCTGCGTTGATCTGAAGGCAGCAGCCAGGTGCTTCTCCTGGTCTCCCATGGGGTGCAGGGCCCAAGCACTTGGGCCATCCTCCACTGCACTCCCGGGCCACAGCAGAGAGCTGGCCTGGAAGAGAGGCAACCAGGACAGAATCCGGCACCCCGACGGGGACTAGAACCCGGTGTGCCGGTGCCACAAGGCAGATGATTAGCCTAGTGAGCCATGGCACCTGCCTAAGCCATGGCGCCAGTTTCACTGCCTTTCAGAGCTGCTTATCAGACACTCCTTCAATTGCTAGAAAGTTCTCCATGACACTGAACTGCAGATGGCCACTGGATAGGGCCCTGGTGTGGTGCTGCAATGAAGCCTGGTAGCATCCACACAGCTGGGTATTTTACAAAGGTCCCCCGAGTGACTTCAGGTCTTCCCCGTTTCAGTCCACATACCCTTTGTTCTGCCATCCACTCCACTTGAGACTCGCTTGAGCTGTGGTCAATGCCTCTTCAGCTGCCTCATAACAAACTGGACGCATTGCTCCAGCAACTGAACACCTGCCCAGCACTGGCCAGCAAAGCCCACGTCTGCACACAGCATTGCCTGAGGTTAGCTGGGGCTCTCCATCACCCATTGCTAACCCCACAGAGCTCACAGGCAGCCAGGCAGCCGCCTGCAGGCTCTGCTCACACGTGCTGCTGTTAAACCCTATCCCCCCATCCTGTGCTTCATGCAGTGGGCAGCAGATTTATGGAAATGGCACAGACCTGAAAATACAAATTGCTTCAGAAATGAATCAGACAACTTCATGGTTGAAAGACCCATAATGGCTTATTATGGCAAACTGGGATGTGTTGTGCTGCCCGTGCCTTGCTTTTCTAGCTGACAGCGGGATCAACAGCTATGTTGAACTCAATGGTTCTGGAAGCCCCTAATAGCTCCTAAAGTTTGTGATGCCTTCTCCTCCCACCAAATGTTCTTTGGTGCCACTGTCAGCAGCATGCAAAGCCAGCTGGGCCAGGGGCTGCCTCAGCTGTAATGTCATCTTAGAGGAGAAGTAGTAGAAGAAAGAGAAAGGTAAGGAAGGGTAGGGAGATGCGGCATTCCTGAAAATCCCAAATGTCACTCTGCAGGAGACGGGCAAGGTGTGTCACCCGCACCTGGGGGAAGACGGCTGCTAGTGCCACCCACATGTTAAGATGTTACTTTTTATAGTTTACTTTTTATTTTTGACAATGTGAAATGCATTCATCTTTGAATTCTTAGAAGTGCAGAAAAATTTTAAAGAAAGAATTCACCTACAATTCTGTACAGCAACAACTACCATTAATATTAGTGTTTCCTTTTAGTCACTTTTTATTTCTTTGCTCCTTAAAAAAGAGTCTTGAGAGACACATAATTTTTTTGACAGGCAGAGAGACAGTGAGAGAGAGAGACAGAGAGAAAGGTCTTCCTTTTGTCGCTGGTTCACCCTCCAATGGCCACCGCGGCCGGTGCACTGCGCTGATCCGAAGGCAGGAGCCAGGTGCTTCTCCTGGTCTCCCATGGGGTGCAGGGCCCAAGCACTTGGGCCATCCTCCACTGCACTCCCGGGCCACAGCAGAGAGCTGGACTGGAAGGGGGGTAACCAGGACAGAATCCGGCACTCCGACTGGGACTAGAACCCGGTGTGCCGGTGCCGCTAGGTGGAAGATTAGCCTAGTGAGCCGTGGCGCGGGCCTTTTTTTTCACATAATTGTTTTCATCTCTCCTTTGACCCATCCCTCCTTCCAATGTATGCCCACGTACTCCATGTTTTGTAAGAGAAAGGGGCATAAACACATCCCCCTACTTTAACACTCTCTTGACCATTTTCCCATGCAACTAAGAATCCTTTAAAAACACAAAGTTAATGATAGTGTAGTATTCTTCCATGATACACATAAACTGTGAAGCGTAATCATTCCTAATCTTACATACTTAGCTTGCTTCTAGTATTTTCCCATTACTGCCACTCGGAGACAACCGTTCCTATACTCAGAACTTTCACATTCTCAGTTATTTTTCAGTTATTTTAAGGATATACTTTTACCACTAAAATATATTTGAAATGTACTTTCTTGAGACTTTTCATTCACATATGTATACATAAGTATGTGTATATAGATCGATCGATCGATCAACAAATCACTCTCCACAGTCCTGATGTGGTCCTGCCATCCTACTTCAATCAGAAATTTCCAAAAGCAATGGCATGGATCAGCTGTCAGCATCACTTCCTAACTGAATACGACACAGAAGAGAAAAAGTAGAAAAACCCTAAATTTCTCTCCAAGGATCCTAAGCCCCAGAGGTGAGTGGAACATGAACTATTAGACAGAAAATAGGTGGTTAATTGCTATAAAGTAAACAGCCACACAACCCTGGAAAGCCAGAGGCACGGGGATGTCACTCAGTGAGACTGGCAGGTGCTGCACCCTTCACCCTGGCAGTAGCTGGGATTGGGCCTGTGTGATTAGCGGGCTCCCGGCCGCTAGTCTGCTAGGCCTGCCATGACTAAACACCACAGACTGGGTGACATAAACATTGGCCGTGGACTTTCTCAGCAATCTGGAGGGTGAGCAGGGCTGGTCTCCACTGACGCCTCTTTCCTGGACTTGGGGATGGCGTCTTCTCCCTGTGTCCTTACATGGTCATCTCTCTGGGTCATCTGTGTTCTGATCTCTTCTGATAAGAACACAGATTGCGTGAGGACCCAACCCAGTGGCATTATTTGGATGTGATCATCTTTATAAAGGCCCCATCTCCAAATGCAATTGTATATCGAGACTTAGGACTTCAACATGTGAGTTTTGGGGGGACACAGTTCAGCCCGTAGCCCTGACCTAGTGGAAGTACTGGTGTATGAGGCGGGCTTTGGTTTGTAATCTGGACTCATCAGCCTCCAATGCAGGGATCCGGGGCTCTGCAGGTGTCCCTTCCTCCGAGTGGTTCTCCAAGTCCTCAGGGAATTCCTCGTTCCTCATCATGTTGTATGGAAGCTCAAGCCACTCGGAGAAGCCACATAAACGCACTCTGGTTAACAGTCCCCGCTGAGCCCCGTCTGAAGCCATCCCAGCCCAGCTACCTGACACGTGAGTGAAGAAGTTCCAGATGAGTTCAGCCTTCAACCCTTTCCCAGCTGTGTTCTGGTTGAATTTCTGATTCCTGGAACCTGTGAGCATAGTAAGATGATGTTTTATGTCACGTTTTGGATGGGATTCTGGGTTAATCAATGTTATTCCACTGGGTAACGAAGACCGCACACGTTTCCATCTATACTTGCAACAACTGTTCTGAACAGCATCCTACATGCTCTCTGGGGCACTGGGGTGGCATTGGCATGTGACTCACAGTGCAGTCTAAGTGATGAGTGCTTCGCCAGAGGAAATGACCTGGAGCGATGGCACAGAAGCACCAGGTTCTCACACAGGTGACAGTGCGGAGTCAGATGGGTTAACAAGCACGTTGGTCCCTGTGGAAAATGCGAAAGCAGAGTCCCTCTAAGAGGGTACACAATGCTTGCTTCCCTCAAAAGTTGCCTTCAGCAGGATCAAGGTGCTAAATCCTGCTGCATGTTTTCCCCCAAAAGCTGCCTTTACCAAAAACCAAAGAGCCTGCCCACTCCTTAGGAGCTTCCAATCCTATCATGAGAATAGCAAGGGAGTGGGGATTCCACTCTTCTGAGCCCCCAGGTTACTGTAGAAACAAGTTGCCCACCCCACAAACACACTTCTGATGGCTCTTCCACGTGAGACAACTCTTTCATGTGAGACAAAGGACCGAGATCATCTTTCTCTGCTACCTTTTCACCCATAACAATAGCAGGAACAGTGTGCTGAGGTCAACCCCAGCCCTCCTCTCCAGCCGTGGGCATCCCTATGTCCACGGCCTGTTCCCAAAGGAATTGAAGGCAGTTTTGTTTTATTTTACATCAAACTTCCTCTTTAAAACAAGATGCTCTTTAAGATCCCCTCTACTAAGTTTTCGTGACGCAGCTTGGACAATCTTTGTCTCACCTACCCCTAAAGCAGAAGCAACGCTTTGCATCAGGGGACGCAGGTTCAAACCCCAGCCCGCCACTCACTGGCCAGGCAGCCTGGGCAAATCATTTAAATCATCTGAGCCTCGCCTCAGTCAAATGGAAAAACATGTGCTTTACCACATGGGGACTGTTGTGAAGATTAAAGGCTTATGTGAAAGTCAGGTGGAGAGATGTCTGCTGAATCCCTTGTTAAAGTCTCTCTCTTTCTCCAAACATCTCAAGCCATCTGCATTTTGCTCTGCCCTAAAGGATGCCAAGTCTCCCCTCAGTTGAGGTCTCCTCTCTCTCTCTCTCCCTCCCTCCTTCCCTGGCCACTCCTGAGCTGCACGCTGTCCTCCCTGACCGAGGCTAAAGCCCATGCAGAAATGCACGAGACATGCCCAGAGGCCGGCCTCCTGAGCTGTTACTCACCCCCTGGTTCCTGTCAGCAGGAAACAACCTCGTCTCAGTTCCGTCACCACTTTATCGTCTTCTGCAGCACCTTCGTGCTCAACTGCTTGGAAACATCCTCTCTCCTTGTCACTAATTTCTCTACCAGGGCTGTCACAGGGCCTGTGAGGATATCCTCATTGTGAAATCTAGAGGTCACTTAGCCCTGACGTCCTGACACTGGCTGCAGATGCCTTGAAGTCATTTCCTCTGTTTCTGCCATTCGGCATCCACTAAACATCCGTAGGTGACGTCTTATCTGCAAGTGATGCCCCAGCGGTGCATCACGGTTAGGAAGTTCAAATCCAAACCTCCCACCAACTCTGCATCTCCACCTGTGTTCCCTCTCTTTGGAAACCAGATGGACATTCCCCCAACCTCCCAAGCCAGAAAACAGGCTGCCAGCCTGGATGCCCCCTTAGCTCAGAGCTCCTTAGCCTGTCGCCTCTCCCCCGTCCCAGCCGCTGTTATTTCCTGTTTAAATTGCTCCCATGGTCTCCTAGCAGGTCTCCTGGCTTCCAGTCTTGCCCCATCTCGATCCATGGCATGGCCTGAATGATTATGTCTGAAAGCATTTTTCATTGCACAATCCCTGTATTGAAAACCCTCTTGGTTCTCCACTGTTCTCAAGCTGAGTTTCAAACTTGGCTTTGCACGTGCTGTTCCCTCCGCCTGGAACAGCCTCTGTCCACCCTTGTGTCTCCGTTTAGATGTTACTTCTGGAATACTACCTCCCTTATGCAGTATTCCCTTTGGAGCCTTTGCTTATCACACAATTGCTGTTTCTCTATTGCCTAGCACTGGGGCTGGTGCTAATTGAGTGTTCACTGGCTGAAAAGCAGGGATGGGAGGGATGACTACCTGCCAATGGCTTTTGAACTTGCCACAGAATCACCTGGGGGCCTTGTGAAACCGCAGGCTGGGCTCCCACCTGACTTCCTGATTCATGCCGCCCGGGGGAGGCACCTGCGGCTGCTTGTCAGGGGTTACGAACCCCCGCTTCCTGCAACATCAAGGTGCCTGAGGGTGAGGGATACTTTCAAAGAAAACCGGAGGTTCCGTAAAGTTCTGTACCTCTCTTCTCCATAGCTTCCTTAACGGTATTTTATGAGATTTTAGCTTCTGAAAATATTTTCAGGAAACTAGTTGGGCTCTAAGGTAACCAGAGCACATGCCCCATTAGGGCTCAAAGGCAGCACCTGGAGGCTCATTAATGGGTTGCCAGGCAACGGAACAAAGGTGCGGCTGAGGCTGGGCTTAGCAGTTGGCAGGGATCTGAGTGAAGGGCTGAGGCCTCCAGTCGGGAGAGTTCTCGGGGGACAGGGCCCAGGGACCGCTCTCAGGCTTGCCCTGCATGTGCAGTGGTGGGGCGTGATTGGCACACGGAAGGGCACAGCATCCCTGGTGGACAAGTTCTTGTTGTAACTTGGCCTCTGAGGGTTGGGGATTATTTTTCTCAGAAGCACTGAGAACCCATTGGGGATGTTTCTTAATGAGGTATAGGTAAGAAAGGACTTCTTTCTGCTCAACATCTGCTTTTTAAAAATAAGCTTTATTAGTTTATCTTCATTATAAAAAACAAACTTGGAAATTTAAAAAGCAAAAGAAAAGCATGTAATTCTATGTCCCCTGAAGGAAATCCTGTTTTGAATTTGACATCTATGCTCTAAGAAAAAAAAAAGGATTATTCCACATTATAGACATGCTCTTTTATAAGACAATACTTACCTGTTTAACTTGTTGATTTTATAAAAAAATACCTCCATAGAGCAAATATTTATCAATGTTTCTAACTATTCTTTTAATACTCATTAAATCTGCTCTATGTACTGTACTGTCTTTATGCCTTTGTGAGAATCAAAGACAATACCTATTTAAAATTTAGCAACTCCAGCATGGCTGTTTAATTTATATATTCACCAAGAATACATGAGTGCATCTCCACAAACCCTCTGCAGCTCTGGCCATTGTCTGTTCACATTTTTTATTGGCCCTATTGCTTGGGTCTTTTCATGTTTGGGATCCATTTCTTTGTGTCTCTTCAAATGTTTATTTTCCTTTGTATTTCTCTGAGATGTGCCTGTTCCTGTACTCTGTTTGTCATTCCATGGGCCTTGCTTGTGTTTTTCCCATTGATGTATAAAAGCTACCTATATGGCAAAATAGTACTGCTTTCTCTAGTTGTTTTTTCCACACGGACACAAAGATGCCTCTGATCTGTAATATATATACAGCTGAACTGTTGATGTTCTAGGAAGTTGCAAGCTTTCCTTTTAAAATCGAAAAATAAAATTAAAATCCTATCATTTTTGGAAGTTTCCTTTTTATCTCCTGGCCCATAAGAGGGAGGAGAGAACACAGAAGGAAGCCAAAGAGAAATGAGTGCAGAGAGGAGGAGAACACGAGCGAGGGTTCCAGTCCTCACATTACATTCCCAGGAGACTGGACTTACACAGGAATCACCTGGAGACTTGCTAAATGCAGGTATGATGCGGGAGGTCCAGGCTGCCTTGCTCACGGGCTCCCAGGTGAGGCTGATTGTCAGGCCAGCACCCGTGGGCTCAGGGACCACTCTGATTCCCCGGAAATTATCATAAGTTTTGAAAACTCTCTCCTCTCTCTTTTTAAAGCAGAGAGAATCCTAACTGCTTGCTGTGGACAGCCACAGGTCTTTTTTTTTTTTTTTTTTCTTTCGAAAAGAAAAATATGTCCGCTTTCCTGGAGTAACATCCCTGTGCCTCCTAGCCTTGTAGAACATCCCACTAAAGACTTTCCAAGGCCAACGTGCAAGCATAACACGTCCTCTTCTCGGGTCTTCTTGTTAGGCTGGGTAGAATTAAGTTGAGGGGCCAGTATGGAGGTGCAGAGGGTTAAGCTGCCACTTTCGATGCTCGCCTCCCCTATCTGACTGCTGGTTTGATTCCCTGCTGCTCTGCCCACAGTCCAGCTCCCTGCCGATGCAGAGACAGCCGCAGAAAACGAACCAGGTTCTTGGGTCCCTGCTGCCTGGATGGAGTTCCTGGCTCTTGGCTTTAGCCTGGCCCAGCCCTGGCTATTGTAGCCACTGGGAGAGTGACCCAATGGATGCAGGTGCTTGCTCTCTCTCTGTCCTTCTGCATGTCCAATAAATCTTTTTTAAAAAAATTGAGTTAGAGATTAATTGGCCTTTTGGACAGAAGCAGGTTTTTTTTTTTTTTTTTTAAGAAGGAACAGCTGTCATTTAAGCTGCCCCTCCCCCTATAATGACCTAATGAATCTGGAAGCAGCAACACAGTCTGAGGACAGGGGCTCAGGAGAGGTGGATTCTGGTCCTGGCTCTAACACAGTTGTTTTGCATCTATTAAACTTTCTTGGCTCGACTTCTTCAACTGCAGAACGGAGATGATAATAGAGCCTTGCTCCGCGGGAAGATTTGGAATAAGAATTTCCCAGAGGGGTCCCTGGACTTTCTCTAGGAGCAGTGACGTCATCCATCTCTTACAACCACCCCTGCACCGCCTGGGCTTTCCAATCTCCAAGCAAGTTTCCACAAAGCTTTTGGCTAACTGCAGAATACATCACAGCAAACGAGGCTCCGGGCACTTCTGCAGGGTCCTGAAGCCAAGAAGTGGCCCGAGCCCTGCTCATGCCGGCACTGTACGGCTGGGGATACGGGCTCCAGCTCCGATTCGAAAGCACACTCATGGACATAGGGCTGCTGACCGAACACAACCAGTGGCTCTAGCAAGGCCACACCGGCACGAGGGAGGGGATGGAAAAGCAGCATTTATGGAGTGTGTTAGCTCACTTTCCTGCAACAATCCCGGGAGATAGGGAGTGTCCTTCACTCTGGGCAGCAATGGAGTCAACAACTGTCCCAAGGTCACAAGTAGGAAGACCTCAAAGCCCCGATCTGCTCCAGGGGTGTAGCCCAAACCTCAGTCTCACAGCAAAGCAGAGGTGCTCAGAGCAATGGAGACTGGGCAGCGGGGGGAGGGGACCTGCTGACCTTGGGCAGGTCATGCCACTTGGTTAAGGCTGAGGTTTCTCCTGCCAGCACCTCTCACACACAGGCAGTGAGACGGCGCCACTGCTCAGGGCTGGCCCACAGAGAGCCCACTGAGTAGCTCAGGGCTGCCGGCAATACCGACAAACAAACGACAGCCCACCCGTGCCCCCGTCTCATCTGAGGACAGCAAGGCGGGAAGACACAGCCCGTTTCGAAGCTCCACGATGTTGTCAGAGAACAGAGCATCCATCTGTGCCTGCCTTTTTTTGGTGTGTGTGTGTGTGTGTCCCTTCTAGCACGGCGTCGGAAGGGGGCAAGGGGCAGGTCGAGGGGGTCCCACCTGGTCCCACGTCTGCCTCCTCCACGTGGCAGCTGCCCCGGGTCTCGGTTGCCCCATGCTGGCCAGCACCCACAGGTGCTCTGCAGGCTCCGACTCCTTGGCCTGCTGCTCCCCACTCTCCCGCCCGGGGTCCAGATGCGGACCCCACCAGACGCGGCTGTCTCTCGGGGCGCACACCCGGGCCCCTGGCCCTTCCCCACTGGGTGATCTCACCCGGTCACCATCACGTGCCCCCGGGCTCCTCCCGGCCGACTCCCAGCAGCAGCAGGCTGGGTGTCACCCTCCAGCCCTCCTCCCGCCACGCGCGGGCCTCTCCGCTCCGGAGCGCTTACTTCACCCCATAAACTCGGCTAATGCTTACCACATGCTCGCCGGGCGGCCGGCCCGCCCTGGCGGGCGCTGAGAAACCCCTCCCATGACGGACCCTTACTCCAGACCCGGGAGCGGCGGAGGCGGCCTGTGCTGCCGGCCCCCAGGACAAACATGACCTTGGACGCCTCTACGAAGCCATGTCCACTCCTCTGAGCAGGCGGCGGCTTTGAACCAAACGGTGCCTTTTGTCCCTAGCGTTTAGGAAACCGATGGCGCCCGTTTCTCGTTTGCAATTACGGCAACTTGGCGCGGAACCCCCACGCCCCCTTCCACTGCGCCCCAAGCGCAGAGCCCCGGGCGGGGAGCAGGGCGGCTCCCAGGGCGCTCGCAGCGGCGAACCCACCCGCCCGCCGCTCCCGCAGGTCTGCGAGGCCCGCCACACCTGCACGTGCCGCACCTGGGCGCCCGCTCCGCCACGGGGCTCGGACGGGCGGCGCCGCCCTGCCCGCGCGCCCGGCCGTGGGGAGCGCGTGCCGTAGACGCGCCGCCTGCAGTCCCCGCCGCGGGTCCCTAGGGGGCGCAGCCGGCGCGGGAAGTCGCCCGAGTCCAGCGCCGCTGCCGGCGCGAAATTGCAGGCGGGCGGGCGCGTCGAGTTTGAAAACAAGCGAGGGCCGTGGGGGCGGGTCCCGGGAGCGGAGCCGCCTCCCTCGGCCAATCAGCGGCGGGCGGCGGGCGCGGGCGGCGCGTGCGGCCGGGCTGTGAATGGGGAGCGGCGGCGGCGGCGGCGGAGGGCGAGAGCCGGCGCGCGGGCGGGCGCACTTTCTCCTCAGCGCCGGGTGGGGGCGGCGGCGGCGGCGGTGCCTCAGCGCCCGGCTGGCCCCTCTCGGACAGCGCGGCGGAGCCCCGCGTTCCGGCCTGGCGGCGGCGGCGGTCGCCCCGGAACTCCGGGCGTCGCGACGAGCGCTGCCCCCGCTGACAACTTCTCCTCCGCCTCGCTCGACCCCCGCCGCGCCCCTCTCGCGGGCACCCGGGACGCCGCCCCTCGGCGCTGGGCGCCGCGTCCACCCGGGGCCGTCCCGGCCGTCCGGTGCGGCGTGGCGCTCCGGGGGGCAGCTCCTCGGCATGGTCCGGGGTGCCCGGCCCTCGGTGACCGCCGGCGGCCCGCCGCCCCCGGAGCGCGCGGGGTCCTGGCCGGGCCCCCGCCTCGGCCGCGAGCGCCCGGGACCCCGCGCGGCGCCAGGCACCGCCGGGCGGCGGGCGGCAAAGTTCAGCCCGGGCCGCGGGCGGTGGGCGCTGCTGCTGCTCCAGCTGCACTTGCTGCGGGCGCTGGCTCAAGGTAGGCGCGGGCCGGGGCCGGGAGTGGGCTCCGGGGAGACGGGCGCCGCCCCGGGGGCGGGCTGCGGAGGTCGCGCGCCGCTTCGGGGTGCAGCGCGGCGAACTTCGCGAGCGCGGGTGCGCGGTGTCCCCTGCCGCCCCCCGCGAGCCGCCGGGCCAGGACTGCGGCGCGCGGGGTGCCCGCTAGACCCACCCGGGGCGGAGGAGGGGCAGGGGAGCGCCTCGAAGCCCACCCTGCAAAAGGAAAGCCTTGCAAGGGGGGGAGCCCCAGGCACCCGCTCCTGGAGAGGCTGCCCGAGTCCGACCCAGCGCGCCGAGCTGGAGCCGCTGGACGGGCGTCGCTCTGTGCCCCCGCGGAGTCTGGGCGGCGGTGCGGGGCTCGCCCCCGCGGACCCCCGACCCCCACCCCCCCACCAGCGTCAGGTGCAGCCGCGCCAGCTGCAGGGCGCCCCCCTCCCGGGCAACCCCGGCCTCCCGCAGCGCCCGCCTGCCCCGAGCCCGACCCCCAGGTGGGACCGAGCGGTCGGTGGAGCAAAACTTTCCGTGCCCACAGCTGTGCGGCTTGGCTTTGTTTCCCTCGCCCCGTGGGCCTCGGTTTGGAACACAGGGGTGATCACTGCAATAGGAAGCGGCGAGCTGCCGGTTCCAGATGACCTCTGGCACGGCGAGGAGGGGTCTCCGTGAAAGGAGCTGTCCCCGGCCGGCCCGAGCCCTTCGCCCGCCCCTCGGCCGGCACCCTGTCCACTGCAGTTCGCTGTCTTACAAGAGGCGGTGGGGGAGAAACAGCCGCCGACATACCACCCATTTCGGATGAGGTCTGTAGGTTAGCCAGGCTCTTCTGCTGTTGGCAGCGCTAGTCCTATTAACTTTGGGCTGTGTTCATTAGCTGTATCCTGGAAAGCCATCGCGGTGAGGAACTGGGTGCTCGGAGGCTGACTGACGTGGGACAGCCTTGAACTCCAGTTCTGCGTCACGTGCGGATGATTTAGCTTACTGCACAGGAAAGGGTTCAAACGCACCAGCATGTTGAGGGTCCGAATTCAAAGCCCGCATGCCACAGTTTAGAAGCGAACTCAACATTTTTAAACTGCTTATCTAATAGTATCTGAATTGTGCCTCCCCCAGGGGTTCATAATGGGTTCCGTGAGGTCTTACTACGTGAAAACAAAACGTCCTGCTTATGCTCAATTTAACTCCAGCATTAGTTGTACAGTTTTCATTTCTATTTGTGCTTCTTGTTTAATATCTTAGTCTGGAAGCAAGGCGTCTGTTAAGTCATTTTGTAAAATGGGATCTGGATTGCCAGAGAAGCCAGGTTTAACTGAAGAAATTGAAATCACTTGATTTGACCTTTAGAATAGAAATGGTGTTTTATTATTGAGTTTCTTTTAAAAAGTGACTTTTTTTAAAAAAAAAGTGACTTGCACTTTACAGTAAGATATTTGCATTTATGTGTTTGAAGATGTGCACAGATTGAAACAGTGGGGAAAATCGGTGGCTTTGTTTTGAAGTTTATTACATGGATGTAAAGTTTTGGTCATTGGCACTCTGAAGGCTGTTTGAAGTATTTTTACAGCTGAAAAATGAATGAAAATACGTTAATTAAAATACTAAGGCAACTGCTAAACTTTCTTAGGGAGGAATATTTTATTCCTTGTCAGTAAAAACATTGGTATCTGTTTTACATTTATATGGTTTGTAAAAGTGTACAGATCTTTTAGTGTAGAATTTCAAATAGATTGTCACAAATTTTAAATTCATTGACAGGTTTCTGTTCTCTGTGCTCTGTGAAATGTGTAATATATCCATCATTTTTTATATCATATTGAAAATTCATATTACAGAGGAGATGTCACCGTTTGACAAAAGCTCATGTATCTTGAAAATGAAAATTCTGGTGCTGCTATAGCGATTTCTGATGGGATGATGAGCCGGTCATATGCAAGGAGTGTGATCTCTTGAATCTTATCAGATACAATGTAATATTCTAAATGGGGTAGTTACCAGTAAGTTGCAACTGGTCATAAGCACCATGTTGTTACTATGTAGCGAGGTGAAGCTATTGGGTAGGCTGGGTCATATCATCCTGGGGGAGAATAAATGCATCCTTTATCAGTATAAGTTACATATAATCAGCAGAAGTTGCAAAAGAAGATATTGTTGACCCTGGAGGCAGTTCAGATCTTACCAAAAACAAAAACAAAAACCACCTTTTTAATGTTCTGGAGTAACTCTGTTCTACATGGTAATAAGGAGTTGCACACAGATTATTGGTGATTATTTAATTGCTTGTGACTTTTCTAGATACTTAGAAAGCCAAATCTTTAACTCTGAAAGGCAGGTGGCAATACACACTCTCTTTATACTTTCTGCTGAGAAGATAGGAGTGGCTTGGGAGAAGGATGGATCCTAAGTATCGCATGTGGTCAGTGGTACCTTTAGCTTGACTGCTGATGTATTGGTTCTGGTGGTTTTCAGGACACATCATAGATGGAGTTTGTACTCATCAGTCCCAGAGGGATAGGAGTGCTCTTGTCAGTTACGGTCCCTGGTTGTTCATAGCATGCAGTTTCTCCCTGCAGTTGTTTCCAGTCTCTGAGGCCAGTGGTTATCAAACTTGGAGCACACACTCTCCCCCACCCACCGGCTCCCTGGGGGATTGGTAAAACTTTAAGGGACCACCTCCTTCTGTGCTAACTTGAGCTGCAGCTTGCTTTCTCTGGAATTGTGGCATACACTTGAGTTTCAGAACCGCTGATGTGCACTGCTTTGTTTCTCCTCACTCCAGTCTGCTGATTTCCCCAGAACTCTCTAAGCTGGTGTTTCTCAAGCGTGGGTGCACATTGGAAGCACTTGGGAGCTTTCAGTGTTGCGCCTCCATCTCTCTTCCAGACTTTGTTGAATGGATTTGAGGTTTGACCTGGGTGTCGAGAGAGCCAGGCTCTCCAGCTGATTAGAATGTGTAGCCAAGTCTAAGAACCGCAGCGCTTAGCCTTTAAGTGAGATCACAGGATTCAGTTTTCCTTCAGACATTGTCCTGGGCGTCCAGTCATCCCCCAAGTCATTCCAGCAGCTTATGGACCTTAAACCTGTCTTTACTAACACCTGTCCCAGGTTCATGATCTCTCTGAGCTACTTGCTTTTAAGCTGCGAGTTCTGTTTATTCCTGTGCAGACTGCTGAGCTCCTACTTGGGTGCTCATCTGGAGCATGCATCATAGTCACCGGTGAAATCCTAAAAATAATTGAAAATTTGAGCTCCACTTGAGGTCTGTTGACTCTCAGAATTGGGCATTTTTTAGAAGTTTGACAAGTGATTCTTGTCTCTCTTGTTACATTTTTATTCTTGTGATGGTTGATCTCATAATCTCTGGGTTCTCTGCCACCCTAGCATGCTTTCCTGTGGCCAGGATCACTGTGTTAAGTCAGTTCCCAGCCCTGGGTGGTCTCCTAATTAGGCTTTTCTGTCAGTTGTTTGCTGGGGAAATTACAGCACAGTGTTAATCGAGGTCACTGCAAGTCTGGTTTCCTTTGAGCCCGCACTGCCTTCTGTGAATCGACAAGTGATTCGTTGCCCCTCTTCCTCTTATCCCTGGCCCCTTCCCCTCACAACTTTAACTTGAGTTTCTAGGAGTCCCAGGCTACCTTGCTTGGGCTGTTGCATATTTAACAGGTGGTTGTTGGCTACCTTGTTGGCCTTGCAAATCCAGTAATAGCCATTATCACCCTGTACATCCAGGAAGCTTCCTGTGCTCTCAAATATTTAGGTGAAACAAAGTGGAAAGACTGCAAGTTAAATGGGTAATTAAGTGATGAATGATAAGTCTTTCTAGTTAAATGTACCAACTGCCTTGTACAAGGGCACTTCAAAAAATTCCTGGAAAAAATGGAAGTATGTTGGCCAGAAAAGTTGTGAAATTCATGCATTTTTTTTCACCATACCCATAGCCATGGGCTTTTTGAGGAGCCCTTGGGTGGTTTTTGCTGCCTAGGATGGGGTGTGTGAGATGGCGTTGGTCTGTGGCAGGCAGTGTCATTCTGCTTGCTCTCTGTCCTTCCTCAAGGTGTCCAGGAGCCGGGAGACTAGGGATATTGCCTGACTACACATAGAGAAGGGAATGCACATAGCAGCAGGAGGAAACAAGCTGGATTGTGATGGCTCATGGCTTCAGTTTCTCTAAGCAACTTAGAAAATAGGTAGATTCTGAAAGTAGGCCCTTGAAGTCCAATTCATGAAAGCAGAGGGTGGGAATGAAAATCTGGGTGAAAGGGATAGTATGAAGAAGAGGAACACTTAGGTTAGAAAATGCAATACTGTTGATTTCAGTTTTATTGTTTAAATACTCTTGGTATACAATGATACATTGTGTGTAATGTAGGCTGAGTATCTTAGTTCATGTAGTCCTTTTATTCTGATTTGACTTCAGTGGTTCTGTAACACATTTTCTTAGTTTCCCCTGAATTTGTACACTTCCCAATTAAAAGTCATGAACAACGTACCCATAATCCTGAGGGAGAATATACGGTTAGTTGAGCCTGCAAGTGGCACCTTCTGCCATCCTCTGGTGGCACATAGAAATTACAGTTAAAATTTTAGTGAATTCCTGAAATGCAAATCCATCATAGTTTGACCATACCTGAGACCTGTTGTGAAGAAGTTTATTGCAATTAATCTTGGAACTTCATTATATAACACTAGTTTTACTGTATCCAAACATACACACCCACAAATATTTGGGATCATTGCTTCAGGAATCTGTTTATGCATTTGCTGTGTTGGTATTTAGGTGATCTGGCTTCCTGACAGTTCTAAAGCAGAGACTCATTGCATTAGGCTGGCCCCATTCCCCTGTGGTTATTGTGGGAAAGAGAATATTTTTAATAAAGCTTTCCTAGAAACCGATGTAGTGAATGGAGAAGGCATTGGGCTAAGCGCCGGGAGGTTCTGGTTTTTATTTCGTCTGTGACTGCCTTGCAGTGTGAGCAAGTCGGGTAGCCTCTCTCGCTCTGTTTGCTCGTCTATAAAGAGGGAGGCGGTTAGACTCACTGTTCAAATCTGTTCGCTCTGATTCTCTGATCTTCTGTATGTTGTCACATCCTTTCATGCCCTCACCAGACTATCTAAGGTGGTCTCCTCTTTGGGGATTCTGTAATTCCATATGTCTTAGTCCCTGGAATTTAACTCTCTTCATTTTAGTTGCCAGGTATGTTCAGTGTTGAAGACAGCATTTCTCCTGAGATGCTGCTAACACATGATGCACTTACTCTAGCCTTACAATGGTTCATGCTCAAAATTTTAGGTTCTCTAAAGCAAAGTAGTGGCATAATTTATCAATGTAAGCTGTAAATTTGGAGAATTAAATAAGCATCTTATTTTAAGAAAATTTATCTAAGTGGTCAGAAGAAGAAAGAGTAATGAGATTAATAGAAACCTACCAAAGGTAATTGATGCTCTGAGAGATATAACAAGATATGGGATAGGAATTGGTTGTAAGTGTTGCTGTTTACTGGACAGTGACCATAAGTAATGAAAGAGATTAGTAGTTGGTGTTTGAGTTTTCTGTGCTCAACCTCATGTTGTTTTGGCTTAATTGTCTTCATTATGGACTTTTAGTAAAGCAGAGAGTCCTTAAAATTAACACAAGAATTATTTTTCACTTTAATAGGCTTAGTTGACACTAATGCTCAGGCAATATCTAGTGAAGATACAGCTATCAATCCAGTTTCTTGACAACTGATAGATTTATTTATTTACTGATCTTTGGAGATTAGCTTGTTGAATGGGGCTAAGAAGGTACTTCTTGAT